CAGCCACAGGGCAGTGCGCTCTGGGCACACCCCCAGTCCACCCCCTTACACCAGTTGCACATTATTTGCTAAGGGAGAATGGCCCAGCCCCATTTCCCCATCCCTCTCCCCAGGGCAGCCCCATGAGAGCAAGCGGGGCTGCCGTCTCGCTGTCCCACCACAGACGGGCTGGGTCCTGGCTGAGCCGGGGGCTGACCCCACAGGCACTCACCTTTCTTCAGGACCTTCAGGCAGCCGCTGGCGACCGGAACCGGGCTGGGCTTGGCCAGGGTGTCAGCCAGCACGTCCGTGATGCACCTGATAACCTGGCCGAGGGAGAGGTGATGGGAGTGGGCTTGGTCTCCACATGACACCAAGCAGCCCCTCCCGTCTGCGGGGGCCTGTCAGTTTCTGGCCATAACAAACGTGGGTCATGTTTTCCGGAGCCAGAGGCCTGCCTCAGTTTCCCTGCCCATGGTGTGCCTCTGGGGATGCAGGGCTGGTAGGACCGTCGTGGCTGGCCTCAGACCGCTAAAGCCAGCAATGAACCGGGTCCCACACAGACGGGTGGAGATGTCGGGAGGTAGCACTGAGCCAAGAGACCAACCCAGCCCTGCTCAGCAGGGAAGCGGAGAGTGGCAGTGGGAAAGAAAGGCCAGGAAAGCACAGACCCCAGGAAGTCGAGATGGAGGAAACCGTGAGAAGGCAAAAACCCCAAAGCTTTTTAGGGGCAGCTGCTGGTGCAGCATGAGGAGGCCAGGATGCTGGAGGGGGATGAAAGCATACAGTTCCCATGAGGCATTGCAGAGGCTCGGCTCAGCATCAACCCACAATCTGATTTCTGCCAACACTGGGCTTTTCCCATGGAGAATTGCGATTGACCGGAAACCCCATTTCCAACAGGCAACCGCTAAGCGGCCCAAGTCCTTTTAACGTGGGCAGGGCCATGTGGCATCCTTACGCTACCTCACAAAAGAAGCAGCCGACACTATGGCTGTCATTCATATTAATCCCTCACACTTGTCAGGGAAACCCTTTCCAAAGGAGGGCAGGACCTTGTATGGGGGAAACTGAGGCACATAGCTGGGCCATGGCTTCCTCAAGAAGAGGCCCCAAATCTGCTTCCTCCACTGTGCCCTACCCCCGGCCACGCTGTTTCTTACTGACACTCGCACCGGAGGGTACATCTACACAGCAGTGCTATTCCGGAACATAGTGCACGTCTACAATGCAAGCCATTGCTTCAAAGTGACATCGACCTGGAGGAGTTCTTACCCAACTCCTGTAACCTCACTTCACGAGGAAGAGTGTTCTTCCTTCAACTCCTGCTGTGTAGACAGCACCAAAAGCGAAATTAAGCTACAGGCCAGCCTCTAAGTCCAAGATAAACTCCAAAACACCTGGGCTGTGTCTACACTGGCATGAATTTCCGGAACTGCTTAAAACGGAATACTATTCCCTTTTCAGTTTTTCCGGAAAAGGAGCGTCTACATTGGCAGGCTGCTTTTCCGGAAAAGCCCTTTTTCCAGAAAAGCGTCTGTGGCCAATGTAGACACGCTTTTCCGGAAAAGACTACTGGGTGTCTACACTGGCCCTTTTCCGGAACAGTGTTCCGGAATAAGGACTTATGCCCGAGCGGGAGCAGAATAGTTTTTCCGGAATAG